GGGACTCCTGCCCCATCCAAACCACCCCCCCCCCCGTTCCCTGACGACCCTTCTGGGACCCCTGCCCCATCCACACACCCCCGCTTCCTGTCCCCTGACTGCCCCCAGAACCCCTGCTGCCCCATCCAACCCCTGCTCCTTCCTGGCTGACCCCCCCCAGGACCCCTTCCCCCATTCAACCCCCCGTTTCTCCCCTGACCACCATCCACACCCTCACTCCCTGACCACCACCCCAAACTCCATTCCCTCTATCCAACCCCGCCCTGCTCCTCTTACCGCGCTGCCTAGAGCATCGGTGGCTGGCGGCGCTACAGCCGTGCCGCCCGGCTGGAGCTGGGCCATGCTGCCGCTGTCACCACACAGGACAGAGCAACCGGTCAGGCCGGGCTCTGCAGCTGCGCTGCCCCAGGAGCTCACAGCCCCACCGCCCAGAGTTGCGTCAGTGGCGGAGTGAGCGAGCTGAGGCTGCCGGCGAGGGGGGACAGCCTCCCAGGCCAGGAGCTCGGGGGCTGGGCAGGATAGTCCCACGGGGGCCGTAGTTTGCCCACCCCTGTTGTAGAAGGAGAAAAAAGAAATAGTGTATTTGCATCATCTTCTCACACTTCAGAATAGAACTCCTGAATGGGATCTTTCTTCTGTAAGGTGTGACGAAAGGAGACTAAAGAAAAGAGCAACCATCCATTTCAACATCTCCTGCTTACCTTCTGGATTTCTGTGGGAATTAATACAGCTTGAAGCATTGTTTACAAGGGGTGAAACCATAGGCCCTGAAGTTCCTTTGAGAAAATAAGTCTCTTGCAGGATTTACATGCTCCACAGCGAGGGAGGGGAATGACAAATTCTATGCATAAACAGCTTCCAAACCACTATAAACAGAAAAATGAAGTTATTCCAAAGCAGAAGTATAAATCCAATTAAGTTTAAATTAACAATGAAAGTGCTGAAACTTGTATTGAAGAGTGCACTGAACTATGAAAAATGAGCAGTCTGACGGGAAATGAAGTAGTAAATATCCAAATGTCTACCCACAAGTGACCCACATACATTCAGGTTTTACCTGAAGACATATAGATTCACTTGTGATATTTGTTTAGCTACATCTTGTGCCTATCTTAAGTTCTAAACACCACATGCTTAAAAAAAAAATCTGATGTTTTTTAATCCAACAGTTCAAATCCAAGCACACAATCTCTCTCTTAGTAGGCTCATCACAAGAAGAAATTAAAAAAGCACTCTTCTGAGCCCTAAGACTCCCATTACTAAGTATCTTCTTACCGTCCCCCACATATCAACCCACATTTTCCCTAAGTGCTACAAAAATAGGAGTATTTTAATTAGGCTTTCAGAAGGCCCTTGACAAGGTCTCTCACAAGATGCTACTAAAGAAACTAGTCATGGACTCAGAAGAACAGTATTGCCATGGATGAAAAATGACCAAGACAAAAGACAAAGTAGACAAATGGCCAATTTTCATCATGGCAATAGTTTACCAAGTTTCCATATTAGGTCCAGTGTTGGTTAACATATTTATTAATTATGTGGGAAAGGGAGAATAAGGAGTGAGAAAGCAAAGTCTGCACATAACACAGAGTTAAAATCCAGAGATGACTGAGGAACTTCACCATACTAGGTAAATGGGCAACGTGATGGTAGATGAATTTCAATGTTACAAGAAGAACGTAATGTACATTGGAAGGAAATATTCGAACTAACAGACCTTACAGGATTCCGTAATATTTTAGTCTAATCTTGGTTACTGGGCTCAATGCAAGGATAAGTGGATTGGGTTTAGTGCCCTATGATGTGCAGGTCAGACTAGATTATTAATACAATCTGGTGATCCATTCTGGCCTTAAACTCTATAATCAGAGGCATAGAAAAACTCTCCTATGAAGACATTGAAAAGCTTAAGATAATTTCCTTTAGCAAGAAAATGAACAAAAGTGGGTCTGATAAAAATATATAAAATAATTAGTAGTGGTGAGAAACTACTAACTAGGAGCTACATGAGAAAGACCCCACTACCAAAAGGAAACATTCCGGAAAATGAAAGATGGCAAATTCAAAACTGATAATTAGATCATGGAACTCACTGTCATGGGATATTGACTCTTATCAATCTTTCTTAAGGCCAAACATTTAGTAACAAGAATACCGAGTTATAACAATTATTGCAAACAGTTCTAGAAGGGATTAAAATCTCATGGTTCATGTTTTAAACTGCTCTTTTGCTATTAGGATGAAACTTTCATGGGGACCGATTATTCCACATCTGCTTACTGGGGGTACTGGCTTCCCCCCGCCCCCCATTAGGCATCTGCTCCTTGCCACTCTCAGAGACAGGATACTGGACTAGATGGACAATTAGTCTAATTCAATATGGCAATTCCTATATTTCTTACTAAATCAGAGGGAAATGTGGCAAACATTTGGTTTTGTTTGGGAAAAGGGGTGACAGATTTTAAAATATTTATTAATTATAAAAATTAAACATACAAAAATATTGCCATACACTGTTTTACATATATTGTTTGAGAACTGTACTTACAATTAGTAAATCAACAGGAAACACACACACACAGGTGATAGAAGTTTACTATGCTGTATATTAACTTGATTATATTTTTCCCTTAGAGAGCCAGGCAATAACAGTTACCAAGCTGAACCATTTTCTGCACGTACTTTAAACAGTAAAAAGTCCACTTTAGCTTGTATAGATCGTTCTTTCATGTCTGGAGAATAGTTTCAGATAGATGGCTCCTAGAAGTCCAGACTTTTAGTACTTGAAACTAGTATGGGAAATTCACGTATTATGCATGGCCAGAAGGGAGGGTATCCAATAAAAATTCCTCCCTCATATAAGAAGAGAGTAAGGAATTGACGCAAGTTTATTTGTGCTTCCAGGCTTTTCTCTAGATGTTTAGGAAGTTATTTTCTCCCCACTCCTCTGTAGACAAAATTTAGGGCAAAGGCAGCAAGTAGCCTGTAAACACCTCCCACCTTGTTTAAAGGTACTTTTGTTCACTCTCATATATGTGCTTGCCAAGAAAAACTTCTGCTCTTTTCTTCAGCCCTCTGTCCCAGCATATACCACAATATATTCACCCCAGAGTTAACCCTTGCTATTACCCAAGTTTTAACCCAATGCTCTTATGGTTCATACACAAGAACTTTTTACTTGAGTTTGGAGGTACTTTCTTCCCCAGCTAGCTAGCACAGCTGGGTTAGAGTCCAAGTTCTGATTTAACTCTGGCTGGAACCCATACACTTTAGAGTGAGGACAAGCAAAATCACACTAGTGCTGATAATTATCCAATGCTTTCCCACAGTTCCTCCTGAAGGATAGACAAGTTTTCCCACAATTGACTGGGAAAGAATTCTAGAGCACCTTGTTACAAAGAACGATGGCATATGCTGCTGACACACAAAGGCAAGTCCAGAAACAGTGACATGGTAATTTGGGCATAGCTTTGCAGTGGTGATGCTCACACCCAGTTTAGGGTAAACTGGGTGCAAATCACTCTGCAGTGAAGATATACCCAGTAAAGCAGTAGGGAATGGCCGTTTTATTCCAGTCATGTCAACTTTACTGGGCCTTCCACCAGTGCCACTGAATGTCCAGCTGAATCTAAGGAAGGACAGCCAAAAAGACGACAGACCCTCCAAAGGTGTGTTGTTCTAAGAGTGGCTCATTCCTTAAAGTAAGTGAGGAAGAAATAAAAGGGCCACTTCCTCGGAAAAGGACAGAATCTTTCACTATAAGGATCTAACTGACCAAAATTCCTAGAAGCACTCTCTAAACATATGGTAAGTTCAGAAGCAATCTATCCAGTGGTAGTATATTTATTTTCCTGAAACATTAACTTTCTGTACTACTAGATGACACACTGTTAAAAAGTGTACTTAGCAAACTACATTTTACCTTGTGCATTTTTCCTACACGCTTTATTCATTTTAAGTATATTAAAAATGAAAGCTGCTCCCTATGCTCACTTTAATGTAGTATTTAACAATGTAAGTCAAAGTCCGGTTTCCTTGAAGTGACATATGCTCCTCACCAAGTCAGGACCTGCTATGTCTCAAACTAGCCCAGTTTAAGCATCACGGAGATATCCCGATACGATCTATCCTAGGGTTAGACTGTCAATCTCTCAAGGAGTTTAATGTCTGTTTCAATGACACCCACAGAGCGCTGAAAAAAACGCTTTAACCACCAGCTAAGAAACTAACCCCCGAGGGGACCGCGTCCCAGGGAGCGAGATGGCGGCGCAGCACCTTTATGGCCAGTGTCACGCACACGAGCTCCACCCCCAATAGATCCGGTTAACCGGGCCGCGGGACTGAGCACGGCGACGGTTTCCTGGAAGCAGGAGCCGTTATCCCGGCCGGGGCTGCCGCCTGGATCCAATCCCGGCCGGAACCCCACGCCCAGCCCACACAGGGGGCAGCGAGGCTGACAGCGGGTGACTCCAGCCGGGGCCACCCAAGAGATCGGGGGCAGGGGCGTGAAGCACGTTACCCCCAGCGGAGAAGGGCGCGTCGCTGTATTTCAGCTTCCCTCCCCATCGCCCGCCCCAGCCCGCGCGGAACCCACGCTCCGAAAAGGCACCGCGCCTCCTCCCACCCGGACCGCGCGCAGCTACCTCGCCTACTTCCGCCTTCCTCTCCTGCCGTCTCACAACCAGTGACGCTCTGCCGTCCGCAGCCAATGACGACATCATGGCACGTGCGGGAAAGCCTCGCCCTGGCGCTGCTGATTGAGCGAGGGCTGCGCAGCGCGAAGCTGGAACTGCTTAGTGGCCGTTGAGTGGCGGTTGGGGGACGCCACGCGCCAGGGCGGAAGCCATGGACAAACACGCGAAGGCGTCGAAACTTCCTTCGGGGGGGAAGGGGGAGCGGCGTTTAAGCATGTTCGAGAAAGACAACGTGAGCAGCAGGCAGTGCGCAGGCGCGGATTGGGGAGCTGGGCCACGGTGCGGTCAGGTGGAGGTGGAGGTGGAGGTGGAGGTGGGGGGGATGGAAGGGGAATTGTGCACGCGCTTGGACCGGGAGTGGCGGGTCGAGCACCTGTGGCGCAGGTCCTCGCGCTCTGAGTGCATATCACTTGCGATTAGCCTCCCGGGGCGGGGGGAGGGAAGAGGGAGTCAATGGGCGTCTCCTGCCTCTTAGCGCAGAGCGGGCGGGAGGCTGAGGTTCCAGCACGTGCCTATTTAGAGCGCACCTGCCTGTCTGCCCAGCTTACCTCCGGCTCTGCAAAATGTCATAGGTGCCTCCATGCGGCAGGGAGCGGGCCTGGGCTGCGGCAGGGGTCAGTGCGCCCTGACCCCCAGCCCCCTGCTTCCCGCTGGCTGGTGTGTAGGCTGGTCCATTGCACCTCCTGTTCTTAATATAGATGCTCCTCTGAGACTCACTACTGCTCATGGACAGTGCTTGGCTCCTGGTCGCAGGTTATGACCTGCTTCTGGCCAAGGGTTCGGATCCATAAGCTGTCTGCTCTGCTTGATCAGTGTTAATCAAAACCTGGTCTTTTAGAAGACCCTTCACACTAATCCTTCTCCTGCTGTATCATCACCCTCTGGGACTTGACACACACTCGTGCATCAGGTTGTTCTACCTCACTCAGGAGAGACCCTAGCCATTTTCCAAACCAGGGAAGAAAACACTGTGCCTTCATCCCTCTCCCCCCAGCAGCAGAGCAAAAAGGGGCGGTGGGGGGGAAGCAGCACAGCAACTTGGCACCACTTGAAGTTGGCATCTAGGGCGGCTGCCCAAAAAATCACAAGATTAGCCTTCAGAAATGTGACGACTTTAAAAAAAAATTATATTGTGTGGTTTTGTGGTCTGTGCTTTAATTTTTTTTTTAACTCTGCGGATCCCCAGGATGTGTGCAAAACTGTTAGTGTTGCCCAGTGTCCCAAATATATGGGGTGATCTTGGCCCATGTTGCAGGAACTCTCACTCCCATGTCTGCCTGTCTCCTGCCCAGAAATTAATCCTGTCATGCAATCCTCCCATCAGTTCTGTACCACCCCGCAGCCCCATATCAGCTCTTCCTAGGGTAATTCACCTTAGGCTTGGGGGGTGCAACCGGATTCCACTTCCCGTGCTGGGATGGGGGCAGCTCCAGGGGTGGTCCTTACCCCCCTCTGCCCCTTCCTAGGCCAGGTGCTATAGTGGAGAGTGGGAAGAGGAGCAGAGGCACCATTCTGTTTCTCACAGGTGAAGGGAGCAGAATTGTGATGAACTGCTGGGTTCTTTGCTCCTTCCTGTGAGAATAGCAAGCCGTAGCGAAGAGACTGTTGGCTTTCGGCAGGGCTGAGCTTCACGAGGGGGCTGGAGGTTCTAGTATCATTACAAGACAGGCTCCAGAACCCTCTGAAATCTTGTTACTCAAGAAAAGAAAAGTTGACAATGCTGCAAGCTTCTCTCTTAAGCACCTCAATGCCAGCTTCATTCAGTACTTACCCTTGAAGCATGAATCTTCCATAGACCTTCATGTTTACCTCACAATGGTACAGTGTTACTGGCTTGTCTTGGAACAAAAGTTCTCTGTGCTCGGGGATCTGATTCTGTTTTCCCAGCCAATGAGGTCAGAATAGCTCCATACACAACAATGGACTGGTTCTAAATTGGGTCATGTACTTTTGAGAGATGCTCTGAAAGGGACCACACTTAAAATATAACACAATCAGAGAAAATGATTGCTATAACATTTACTAACACTACTTACAATGCCAAAAGTACAGCAAATATGAAGTAAAATGGTATTAGTAATTGCATTTCTTCGTAGTAGTAGACTTATTTATGACCATTGAAAAGTTTTTGGTACAGAGAATGATAAAGATAAGACTTAGTAAAACTGGTCCTTGGCCAGAGATCTTTAAAAGACTTAGGTTCGCCTCCTCCTTCAGTGGCCCTTCCAGCATAAGGAGAATTTCTAACAATTTCCCAACATTGGTAACAATAGTATTAGCATTGTTGGGAGCTTTAGTGTAGACAGGCTGCTGGCTGCCACTGATATTTTTAACATTGCCTCATGTAACCTACTCAGAGAATGTCCTTTCCTCTCTCCAAGGACTTAAATGAAAGTTTTTGTGAGCCCCTGACTGGACATCTTTATAGGTCTTTTGAAAGTGCTTAATCTCTTCAGCATATCTGTATGTCCTCCATATTCTTAGATATTTTCATTCACCTCTTAGCATCACAGCCTAGCAGCTGGGACACTTTCTGCTCAGGTGCTTGTTCCATTCTGCTGCCCGATTAAGCAGGTGATGACTCTATCTGCTCTAAACTATCCCTGCAACCAGAAATTGGAGCTAGGGACTGAGGAAACAGCTAAATTGATCTCAAAATAGTCTTTTTTGGAACATGTTAAAAATTGAGTTTTACTATAAAAATGTGTTTTCAGAATAGCAACACCATTTGATTAAATTGTTCTTCAAAATATGTTGCATGCATGTATTTCGCTCAGGTGTCTGCATGCCCAGCACACCACAGCTGGAGAGTTTTCTGCAGTAGTACTGTCGGGAATGCATGTGACCCTGCACATCTTCGTGGTTCCTCCTGAGGCTATACAAGGGCAGCAGCACCCTGTCCCCCTCAGGTCCTTCTCACCACCTGTGGCCTGATTTGGAGCTTCCCATGTGGTTTACCTCAATGTTTTTTTTGTCTGCATAGTTAGCTAGTTTAGCTTTCCCTTTATCTTTAATAGTTAGCTATTAGTACCAATTAATTAGTTTATTCTTTCAGTTTCAGTGCTAGGCACTGTTGCTATGTTGTGCTCTCTGGGCTTTAATCACTGCCCATTTTCTGAAGTGTTTACACAATGTACACCCCCCCCCCCGATGGGCTGCCTTTTGTGCCTCTGGGAGGGGCATATTAAGGAGAGGTACAGTATTTGCCACAGTTCAGGAAAAGAACAGATTTCCTGCATCTCAAGCACCATCTGATAGAGCAGGCAATGAGGCCTCTGTCAGCTCCTAGCCTCCCAGGGGAGCATTTGTCTTCTCACATGCTGGCTATCAGTGTGTGTGCAGTTTTCTTCAATAGATCCCCTGGACTCTTCTCCATGGAGGAAGGAGTTGTTCTTCTCCAGGACCTCCCCAGAAAAAGATACACAAGTTAGACTGAGGTCACTCAAAGTTGAAGAGTTCTTCAAAAAAGGACTCAAACATAATCTGGCTATAAGGAGATCCTTGGAGGACTCATCCAATAGCCAACATACAGCTGGGCTGTCAACCTGTGACTCCCTGGCACCACACTGGGATGACTTTAGTAATGTACTATCGACTGGCACTTCTGCAGGACAACTGTTGAGTCTGGGATCAACACACACTGTTTCAGCGCTGACCTCTTTGGTACCGACAATCCCACAAACTTATGACAGCAAAAGATTTGCTTTGTCTTCCACTTCCAGACTTTCCTGTAGTTCAGGAGATGATTGCTTTGTCAGCACCTCCTTTAGTACTGGGCCTGTCTTTGTCATCAGCTCCAGTGCAGAAACTATTAGTTGTATTGACTAGTACCAGCTAAGAAGCATGGTGGGGGCTTGGCTCCTTCTCTGATGCCAACTTTGATACCAGGGCACATAGAGTCTGAAACAACACATTCTCAGCACTGATACTCTCTGTATCTTTATGGTCATCTTCCTTGGTACTGACTCCACTTTCTACTATGGTCCTGGCTATGGGGTCTTTCTCAGCGCCACCTCAAGATGCTGTGCTATCAACTTCTTGTGAAGCCTTTATGGTACTGACTACCATACTTACTTCAGTACCAATGTTGTCCTCTTCACAATGGGTGAGATCATTCAAGTTGTCTAGTAGTCCCATCAGGCTTTGCACCCCCAATGCCAATTGACTATTTTGGTGACTCCTCACAGACTGGTTTGGAGTCTTCCAATAGTTCACCATCTCCTCCCAGGCACAGATGGTCTAGCAGACTAGCAGACTGCCTCCAGAAGGAGGACAGCTCTTATGACAGCAGGGACAGATCACTGTGGCCGAATTCTTGCTGATTCTGGATGCCCTGTGCTCTTCCCTGGGGCTGTTTTGGAGCCTCTGGGTTCTCTCATTTGTCCAGAGCCTGATCACTGGTCTAGACTAGAGGAAGCTCTCCAGAGCATGGTAACAAAGCTTCTGGAGTTGCCTGCTTTGGAGATACAGAAAGACACTGTTCCCACTGACCAGCCTGTGCATCAGGAGGAACTATTGCCTTAGGAGTTGATTTTACCATGGGAGGATCCATCTGCTCCTGTTAATCGTCCCGCCTCCTTGCTTGATAATTCTATGATCCCAGACACTTCTCCAGTTCTAGATGACTATATCATCAGGAGCTTCTGAGAGGAATGCTTGCAGCTTTGGGCATTCAAGCAGACCTTTTGCAAGAAAACACAAGCTTTTGGACATTCTACAGGGTTCTGCCCCTGGCTAGGGAGCACTACCTATTAATAAGGCACTACTAGAACTGGCATAGACCTTATGGCATACACCAGTCTTCTTAGCCCCTATAGCTATGTGCATGGATAAATGCAAAGATTTGAGTGTTTTTATTCTCATTCTGCATCTATTTCTGTAGTAATGATGGCTGCCAATGAGAGATCAGGACCAGGAAGACTTAAGTCAACTCCCAAAGAGAGTGAACCCAGGAGACTTGATTTACTTGGGAGAAAAAATTACTACTCCTCTCTTCAAATGTTCATAGCAAATCAGCAGGTGGTTTTAGCTAAATATGACTTTGTAAGCTGAGATGCAATGTCTAAGTTTATTGAAAAATTATCTGAAAATGTTAGGGAGGAATTTAAGGCTTTCCTGCCAGAAAGTTACATTGTGACCAGGACGTCTCTCCAGTCTGTATTTGATGCAGCTGATGCTTTTTCTAGAGTGATGGCCTCTGCAGTAACAATGAGGAGAGAGTTCTGGGCATAG